AATTCAAGACTTTCAGTGATTTTTAAGTATTTTCAGAACAAACTTTGTAGTATGTTGGTTTGTTTCCTGTTGTTAGAATCACTTGAAAATAGAATATACTTTGATGGAAGAAATTAAACATTTCCAATTTTGAGAATTCAGAAGCTACCTTTAAAGTCCACTTCATATAATAATTTGTACTTTGGCTGACATTTGACTTTGAAGCCCATATATAGAAAGGAATCACTTATCTTTTAAATGTGTGGTATCAAGAACAATCTACCAAAAGAAGTTACTGCTCATATCCTTCCCCACCAAATTGTAGAAGGAAATGTTAACATTCCAAGATCTACGAAGATGATCGGATTAGGGAGATGCCATTCTTACCAATGAGGGGAGAAATGATTAGAAGGATATAAACCCTGCCTGGGACCCACATGATGATGAGATGCAGCACAAGATAAACCAAAATTTTTCCATTATACTTTTCAACACGTTATGATGGATATTCAAAACTATGGTATTTGCCCTGGCCAGTTTGGCTTGGCGGCTAAGCGTCTGAGCGTCAGCCTGCAGACCAGAGAGTCCCAGGTTCGGTTCCTGCTAGGGGCACGTACCACAAAAAAAAAAAAAAAAAAAAATCTATGGTAGTTAATGCAAGGACTCCCAAGCTCATTTTACAAGGTCAGCATTATCCTAATTCCAAAACCAGATAAAGACACTATTACAAAGAAAGAAAACTACAGGCCAATATCCTTGATGAACACAGATGCCAAAATCCTCAACAAAATATTAGCAAACTGGATCCAGCAATACATTAAAAAGACCACAAACCATGCCTGACTGGCTAGTGTGGCTCAGTGGTTGACCATCGACCCATGCACCAAGAGGTCACCAGTTCAATTCCGAGTCAGGGCACATGCCTAGGTTGTGGGCCCAATCCCCAATGGGGGGCATGCAGGAGGCAGCCAATCGATGTTCTCTCTCATCCATGATTCTATCTCTCTCTCCCTCTCACTCTAAAATCAATAAAGAAAAAAAAAATCAATCAGAAAAATAAACAATTCAAAATAAAATAGGCACGCCATGGCCAGTTTGACTCAGCGGTTAGAGCATCGGCCTGCAGACCAATGAGTTTAGGGTTCAATTCTGGTCAAGGGCAGTACCTCGGTTGCAGTTCTTCCCCGGCCTTGGTCGGGTTGTGCAGGAGGCGACCAGTCGATGTGGCTCTATCACATGGATATTTCTCTGTCTCTCTCTCTCTCTTTCCCTCCCACTCTATCTGATAATAAGTGGGGGGGCATGCAGAAGGTGGCCGATAGATGTTCTCTCTCATCAATATTTCTATCTCTCTCTCTAAAATCAATAAAGCAAGCCCTGGCTGGTTTGGCTCAGCAGTTAGAGCATCGGCCTGCAGTCCGGAGAGACCTGGGTTCGGTTCCCACTAAGGGCACGTACCTCCGTTGCAGTTTGTCCCCGGCCCTGGTTGGGTCGTGTGGGTGGCAACCCTTTGATGTGTCCCTTTCACATTGATGTTTCTCTCTCTCTCTTCCTCCCACTCTATCTGAACAAAATATCGAAAAATGTCCTCAGGTGAGGATAAAAAATAAATAAATAAAATAAAATCAATAAAGAAAAAAATATTTGTAAAACACACACACACCAATAGATACCATTTCAAACCCACTAGATTAGGAAAAAAAACCTTTAAGTCTGACAATATCAGGTGTTGGGGAGGAAGTGAAGCAATCAAAACACACACTGCTGACTCTTGACTCTGAAAGCAAAATATTCACATTTACCATGAGCCAATTCAGTGACTCAATAACTGGAAGTGTTAGGTAAGCATTAAGCAACCGATAATGACCAATCCAGACTTCTGAGAACATGTTCAGAACACTGCCAGATACAAAGTTTGGTCCTTAATGAACTGGGTCCAACCTGACTCAGCAATACAAAAAAGAAAACTTTTAGTCCCTTAACCAGTTTTAGTTTATTTTGTTAAGTACAAAATAGTCATTTCCTCCTAGAATACTGATGACATCTTAATTGACTAAAATTTTAATGAACTATTTATCATTTCAGTAACACTATGATTTCAGTAAAAAGAAGTAGTTTTAAATGGCATAACTTTAAAATTAAAAAGTGTTTACACTAAATTTATTTGATAAGAATTAGAATGACCCTGTGACCACTTAAAAAGGGGGAAATGGTATAATAGTTGCAGTATGTAACCTTAGTTCAATTACTTAACTTCCCTGATCCTCAACACCTAAAAAGATGCAAATCACAACCTGCCTACCTGATCAAACTGTAAAGATTAAGTATGAATATGTAAAGTGCTTAACAAAGTCTAGCTCATTAGCATAGGCCCAGTGTTTGCACCTCTCTCTCTGTAAATCTTGCTACCCTCACCTAAAATTGTTAAAGCCTCAAATTATAACTCTCAATTCATAGGAAAACATTACTCTTACATTCAGATCATTTTCCAAAATTACAAGAAACTGTGTGCTACAGGTTGGAAGAGCAACCTCCTCCGTCCTTCTCTAACTGAAAGGCTCTTTCCTATAAGAAATAAGATTCTGGAAAAGAGAATAGATTTTCACTTACAGAAGTAGGGACTGTCATCCTATGTGGGAAACTAAATCCAGATGATTTCTAAATTTCAATTTTATTTTATTCTAAGAATGATGCTTATTTAATACATTAAGTAAATTGCACACTACCTTTTGTATTTATTAAGAAAGACTGTCTAGCCCTGGCTGGTTTGGCTCAGCGGTTAGAGCACTGGCCTGCGGTTCTGGGCCTGCGGTTCTGGACCTGGGTTCGGTTCCCGCTAAGGGCATGTACCTCAGTTGCAGTTTGTCCCCGGTCCTGGTTGGGTCGTGCAGGTGGCAACCACTAGATGTGTCCCTTTCACATCGATGTTTCTCTCTCTCTCTTCCTCTCCCTCCCTCCCACTCTATCTGAATAAAAAAATGGAAAAATGTCCTCGGGTGAGGATAAAGAAGAAAGATTGACTAAAGAAAATTATCCGATTAATGATGAACTGATAGCTGGTTTTTCGGTTGGTCTGTGGAAAAAAGTTTACACTAAAATAATTTGCATGTGAAAAAACTCAAAACATTCAATAGTATGATTAGAAAACAAAATATTTATAATACTGGCATCTACACTCTGGGCTAATGAAAATACTGAGAGAAATTTAGTCATTGAATTAAACTTTGAAATCTCTTTTAAATACCTCACTTTAGTCAAGACATAAAAAGAAAAGATATACAAGATAAAGTGAAATTTGCCAGTCCAAGAAATGTGAAGTAGCAACCATTGATGAGAATTGTTTACAGACCTAATATTATTTGATCAGGATACTACCATTGTCGTCTTCAAAATAAAAATGAAAACTAAAATTTCTCAGATATACATAAAATATGCCATGATAAGGTAATGAGTCAAATACAAAAGAAAAATTCAGAGTTCTTTTATTCACATACTTCAATTTTCTTCCTCTGTCTTCATTTCTAATATAACACTTCCAATGAGGCCACAGCAAGTTATTGCTATGCAGTGATAGAGATGCTCACTACAGAAATATTGTCCCCCTTCTCTATAATTATAATGGTATTAATGTAGCACACAATTGGCATTCAATGAATGTTAAGTAAATAAGTAACAGAAAGAATGAATAGGATGGAAACAAAAAATTAATTTATAAAATTCCACTTAAAGCTGGTTAATTCAGCTGGTTAGAGCATCATCCCAATATGCCAAGTTTGCGGTTCAATCCCTGGTCAGGGCACATACAAGAATCAATCACTGCCCTGGCCAGTGTGACTCAGTTGGTTGGACGTCATCGTACCAGTTCAACTCCCAGGTTGCTGTTCGATCCCCGGAGAGGGGCTTCCAATAGGCAGCCAATTGATATTTCTCTTTCTCTCTCTCTCTCCCTTCCTCTCTGTCTAAAGTCAATAAATAATTGTTTTAATTCCACTTAAAAATAAGTTAATGCAGACAGCGTAATTCTTTAGACTTCGGACATTCCAGCCTTTACTAAACACTTTCAGTTTAACTTGTTTAAGACATTAACTCGAAAGAGCTAGATATCACTAAAGACTAAGTGACCTGTTTTTCTCACCACCAACTCTGACAAAATTTTAAAAGTCCATCATATCTAGCCAAATTCTCAAATACTAATACACAACTGAGGAAAGAGAAAAAACACTAGTAAATGGAGTTAGAAAAGAATATATTTAATAGTTAACTAAATTACCAAAACCTCTCAAAAAATTCAGTTTAATATAAAATCTATTTTTATGCTCAGCCATACTTTTAAGAGGTTACTCTGGAAACCAATACATGTGGTGACAACACAAAGGCCAGAGATCACTGATACAGATCAAATAAATGAACTATAACTTGATGTTCCAGAAGAAAGATCTGGGGCTGTTCCAGGTAGACTGTATAGGTAAGTCTCCACCCAAGAAACAACAAAAGAGGCAAGATAAACGTAAATGGAGAAGACCTGACAATTTCAAAGATCACTCGCCCCGCGTCTGGTCTCCTCCCTTTCTCCCAAATCTCATCACCTCAGGGAGAACTAAATCTGCACCTCACATCCCCAGCTGACCCTCAACTTCCACATGACCAACCTTCCTGTTTACTTAAACCTGGATCCCCCTCCCCGGCATCCTCTAGTTCCTACCAAGCTCTAACTCCAAGATAGATGTCCACTGCGTCTATCTTCCAGTAGTGTATTAGTTCCCTTAATCCGAACTCATTTTCCCATAACCCATCTGCCGTCCGCCCTTTCAACTCTGGTCCCCTCACTCCAACCCTTCTTCCTGAATCCTCCCCAAGTCACAGATCTGTCCTCTTCTCCTACTCCCTTAGCCGTATCTCCTTTCATTCAGCTGGGCCTCTAGCCTCTTCCGCAGGTTCCCTCCCCACACGTATCCCGGTACCGGCGCCCTACCCCCAACTCCGCCCCTCTCCTCCCTCCTCCAGAAGGAGGCCCCCCTCACCTGAACGCCACTGCCGCCGCCGTCCCAGAAGCCGAAAGGTACTGGCACTGCCGACCTCCCAGGCTCGGTCCCCGCTGAGCTCCCGACGGCCCCTAGGGAAAGCGAATGCCACCACCTTCAACTCTGCCCGCCCCAGGCCAAGCCGTCACCTTAGCCACAGCCAGTACCACAGCCGCCATGTTGAAGTCCTACTTCCCTCCTCCTTCCCCTCACCGCCCCGCCCCTTCGGGCGTCTGACGTCATGGCGCCTCACTCCACGCCCCCCCGGGCCAGTGGGAGGAGCCAACGGTGACGTAATTAATCTCTCTTCTAGTGCTAAACAATTACTACTTCCTGGAGCGTAGCAATTGGAATGGGCGAATCCTGCTGACCCTGAGAAAGGGTGGAAAGAGAGGGTCAGGCGTTGGGATTGGAGAAGCGGATTTAGGGAAACCGGTCGAAATACAGTAACCAGAGTTGAAGAGGCGGAAGAAAGATAAGATGCGAAAATTTGAGTTCGAATTAGGGGAACTAATACACTACTGGAAGATAGGCTCAGTAGACATCTATCTGGAGGGACCCGAGAGCCTTGAAACACAAATATTTACCAATGAGACCTACTTGGGAATCAGGATGTCTGGCCACTAACCTGGTACAAATCCTATCTTTTCTGATAATGGCCTCACTTTCCCCATTTACAAACGAATGGGTTGAAAGGTGACCTCTAAATCCTTCAATTCTGACATTAAGTGAGTTTAAACCACATCATCTAATCCCAAACCTTTACTGCCTTCTGCGTTTATTGGATGTTTTCTAGAATCAGGTGCATGGTGAGATGATTCTTTGTTCCCAAAAGTTCCTAAATGATGGAAGAAATAGAAGCATAAACAATTAACTCTAGGAAAAGTCAGAGGATAATAATGGTAGATCAATTGATCTAAAAAAATTGACTTTTGCTAAGAGATTAGGAAAGATTTGCATCTACACTTTCTGGGCACATAAAAAGTGTGTACACCCTCATGTCTAATTCTCCAGCCCTGTTTTCTCTCCAGAACTCCAGAGATAATATATGTACTTTTTGTTGTTGTTGTTTTGTTTTTGTTTTTTTATCCTCACCCGAGGACTTTTTTGCATTTATCTTCAGATAGAGCGGGAAGGAAAGAGAAAGAGAGAGAAACATCGATGTGAGAGAGACACACATCGAGTGGTTGCCACCCACACGGCTCCAACCGGGGCCGGGGACAAACTGCAACCGAGGTACATGCCCTTAGCGGTAACCGAACCCGCGTCTCTCTGGTCTGTGGGCTGACGTTCTAACGACTGAGCAAACTGGTCAGGGCAATATATGTACTTTGAAAGGTGAAGCAATTTTAACTCACAAGGAGAGAGTTCCAGGAAGGGGGTGTTAAAGTGACCAAAAAAATAACAAATCAATTCTAGATTATTTGATTATTTGCCTTTTTTTTTTTTTTATCCTCACCCCAGGACATTTTGTATTCATCTTCAGATAGAGCAGGAGGGAGAGAGGAGGGAAGAGAGAGAGAAACATTGATGTGAGAGAGACACATCAAGTGGTTGCCACCCACACAACCCCAACTGGGGCCGGGGACAAATTGCAGTCGAGGTATGTACCCCCAGCTGGAACCAAACTGGGGACTCTGGTCCACAGGCCGACGCTCTAACTGCTGAGCTAAACCAGCCAGGGCAATTATTTGCCTATTTAATTCAACACATAATACATAGCCACGGAAGATTTATGGAGAGAGCAATGAGCTGATCAAAGCCCTTTATCAGCAGAATTTAAATGGTAGCAGTGAATAAAATGGATTGGAGACTACATAGTAGTCTTCTGCACTGAGTAAAAGACAAAACTGAACTAAAGCAGAAACAGTGGGGATGGAGACTAGGGGATGAACTGAAGCAAGATGTAGGAGACTGACTCAATAAGTTTAAGAGATCTGCTATATGGGAGGAGAAATCATGAAAAAGGAGCCATGCTTTGGGGGTCTCACACTAACAGAAACAGAAAGACCTAATGTTTACTGAAGCCATAAGGGAAATAATAAGGAATTCAGCTGACCAAACAGATAAGATGAGGGCAGATTTTTCTGGAGAGATGCTCAAGGGAGAATATGGGTTTACACCTGTGCTGTACTGTACTAGTACTCCAAGGATACGTTTTTATTGATTTTAGAGGGAGGAAAGGGGAGAGAGAAACATTGATATGAAAGAAACATCGATCAGTGGCCTCCTGAACATGCCCTGACCAGGGATCAAACCCAAGACCTGGGTATATGCCCTGACTAGGAATCGAACCCTTTGGTATACCAGATGATGCTTCAACTAACTGAACCACCAGCCAAGGCCAAATAAATTTTTTATTAATTCATTTAACAAGTATTTCTTGAGTCCCTGCAATATAGCAGGCACTGTTCTACACACTGGGGATACAACAGCATATAAAAGAGACACCCCATGCCCCGCCTGTGTGGCCCAGTGGATTGAGCATTATTGACATTATTGACCCATGGACTGAGAAGTCCCAGTACAATTGCCTGTCAGGGCACATGCCAGGGTTGTGAGATCAATCCCCAGTAGGGGGCATGCAGGAGGCAGCCATCAATGTTTCTACCTCTCTCTCTCTCTCTCTCAAAAATAAAAACCGTGTTGTTAAAAAAAAAAAGAGAGAGAGAGAGAGACATCCCTCCCCCCAAAAAAACACCCCTGCTCTCACAGAGCTTACATTCTAAAGGAAATAACATAGTAATAATGGTGATATGTGTTTTTTTAAAAAAAAAAAAAAAAAAAAAAGGAATAAAACACAGAAAAGAAGATAGTAGGTATCCATGGTTGAAATTTATAAAAGATTGCCCTAGCTGGTTTGGCTCAGCAGTTAGAGGGTCAGCCTGTGGACCAGAGAGTCCTGGGTTCGGTTCCTGCTAAGGGTACATACCTCAGTTGCTGTTTGTCCCTGACCCAGGTTGGGTTGTGTGGGTGACAACCACTCGATGTGTCTCTCTCACATTGATGTTTCTCTCTATTCCTCCCTCTCTCCCTCCCGCTCTATCTGAAGATAAATGCAAAAATGTCCTCGGGTGAGGATAAAAAAAAATATATATATATATATATATCCATCCTCGGGGTGAGGATTAAAAAAAAAGAAAAGAAATTTATAAAGGATGGCCAGGGAAAGGTGACATCTGAGTAAAACCCTGAAGGAATCGAGGAGTCCTGGCCTGGTAGCTCAGGTGGTTAGAGCATCATCCTGATATACCAAGGTTGTGGGTTTGATCTCTGGAGTCAGAGCACATACAAAAAGCAACCAGTGAATGCATAAATAAGTGGAACAACAGCCCAGCCAGTGTGGCTCAGTGGATTGAGCTTTGTCCCATGGACTGAGAGGTCCTGTTTTGATTCCCTGATCATGGCACATGCTTGGGTTTCAGGCTTGATCCTCAGTAGAGGGTGTGCTGGGCAAGAGGCAGCCGATCAATGTGTCTCTGTTACATCGATGTTTCTATCTCTCTCTCCCTTTGTCTCTCTCTAAAAAATCAATAAAAACATATTTTAAAACAATAAGTGGAACAATAAATTGATGCATTTCTCTTTTTCTCAAATCAACTTAAAAAAAAAGAACCTGTCCCTGGCCGGTTTGGCTCAGCGGTTGGAGCGTTGGCCTGCGGTCCAGAGAGACCCAGGTTTGATTCCCACTAAGGGCATGAACCTCGGTTGCAGTTTGTCTCCAGCCCTGGTTGGTCGTGCGGGTGGCAGCCACTCGATGTGTCCCTTTCCCGTCGATGTTTCTCTCTCTCTCTCCTTCTCTCTTCCTCCCACTCTATCTGAACAAAAAAATGGAAAAATGTCCTAGGGTGAAGATTAAAAAAAAAAAAAAAAAAGGAACCCGAAGGAAGTGAGAAAATGAGTTGTGTAGATATCTAGAAGAAGAAAATGCAAGGCCAAGGCAAGGGAATAGTAAATATAAAGACTCTGAGATGGAAGCTCACTTTCTATGTTCTAGGAAGACTAAACAGCCCAGTGTGACTGGAATGGAGCAAGCAAAGAAAAGAATAGTAGGAGATGGAGTCAGAGAGGTAAAAGGTGGCTACATCACATAGTGTTTTGTTCAAGTGAGTTATAAAACATAGGAGAGTTTTGAGTAGAGAAGGGAAATGACCTAACTATTTAACAAGATCACTGCAGCTACTACACTGAGCAAGAAGGGCAAGCATGGAAACACTTAGTAGTTATCGCAGTAGTCCAAGCAGGAAATTATAGTACTGGAGACTAGAGTGATAGTACCAGCAAAGGCGGTTAGAAATGATCAGGTTCTGGGTACATTTTGAAGGTAGAGCCATAAGAATTTGCTCACATTAGCCCTGGCTGGGTGGCTCAGTTGGAGCATTGTCCCATACATCAAAAAATTTCGGGTTTGATTCCCAGAGTACATGCCTAGGTTGTAGGTTCAAGTCCCAGTTGAGGCACATACAGGAGGCAGCCAATCAATGTTACTCTCTCACATTGATGTTTCTCTCTCTCTCTCCCTTCTTCCCGCTTAAAAAAAAAATCAATAAACATATCTTCAGGTGAGGATTAAAAAAAAAGAAAGAAATAATTTGCTCACAAAGTAGTTGCATGGTGTGAGGAAATGAGAAGACTCAGGATGACTTTAAGGTTTTTGACCTGAGTCAAAATCTTGCAGGTTTGGCTAAAAGAATAGAAATTCAGATTAATTAAAATTTCTGAGGATAGGACCCTTTGGAACACTGACAAATAGAGCATGGGAAGAGGAAGCAGGGGAAGAGGAAGCAGAGAAAGAGGTGGAAAAATAGTGACCTGTGAAGCAGAAAAGGAATCAGAAGACTGTAGTGCCATGGAGGATTAGGAAGGAAAAACCTTTGGAGGGCTAGGCCTGTGCCTCTCCTCTCAAAGTAGACTCCCTGAGTCCATAGACAGGTCTCCCACATCAGACAGGGACTTCCTGAGATTCCCCATCAGCCTAAGTCTCCTGATCCAATAATATTTCTTTCTCTGCCTTTTTGCTTTAAGTGGGGATATAAGAATACACACCAAACTATCAATTTTGTCTCTGGAGAGAGCAGGAATTGGCTGGAGTGGGGTGGACAGCAGGACTTCAGACCAAGAAAGGAGGAGAAGTAGAAACCATGTAGAAGATGGCAGCCACTGCTGGAATATGCATCCACAGCCATTATAAGAAAGAGGAAAAACTAT